GTGGTCCTGGGGGGTCCCGGCTGGGGTGTGTGGTCCTGGGGGGTCCCGGCTGGGGTGTGTGGTCCTGCGGGGTCCTGGCTGGGGTCTGTGGATCTAGGGGGGATTCCAGGCTGGGGTCGGTGTTCCGCGCGGGGTCTCCGGTCCTGCAGGCGTGCGGCGTGGCAGCGGGCCCGGGAGGGGGGTGGGGTGGGGGTCCCGGCAGGCCAGGGCGGTTCGGGGCGGTCCGGGGCGGTCCGGGGGCGGTCCGGGACGGTCGCATTTCCGCCGGCCGTCCGGGCGGGCGCAGAGTCCCGCGAGCGGCGCGGAAGCGGCGGCGGCTGCGCTGGCGGGGCAGCCATGTCGCCATTGTCTGCGTTGTGGGCGGCCCTGCGGGTCTACGCGGCCGGCGCCGCCGTGATCCTGGAGCAGCTGCTGCGGCGCTGCCGCGGGGGCTTCCCGGAGCCAGGTCAGCGGGGCGGGGCGGGGGTCGGTGCTCCGGGGACCCGGGGGGCGCGGGGCGGGGGCACGGGGGCTCCGCATGACCTTGACGAGGCTGTGGCGCGGCCGCTCCAGTGGCGGCGCTCCCGGAAGTAGGGCCGGGCGGGGGTCGCGGTGGGGTCGCGGGTCGGGGTCCGGGATGGGGGGGGCGTGCGCGCCTGGGACCTTCCGGCCCCGCGCTTCCGGTCCCCTCTCCCCGGCTCCCCCGCGCTCCGCGCGCCCGGCCGGGCCCGGCCCTTCCCTCCGCGCGCGCTTGGCCTCCCCGCCTGCCCCGGGCCGGGCTCCCACCGAGAAACCCCGCGCAACCCCACCCCGTACCCCGACACGTCCTGGGCATGGCCGGGGCCTGTACACCCCGCGCCCCACAGCTCACACAGCTCCGCCCGGCGCCCGGGGTCGGCCAGTGACTGCGCGCCCCTCAGGCCCAGGACGGGAGGAGGGGACGACCCGGGGACCTCCACCCCCACCCACCCCAGGGTAAGTGAGGACGGGCCTTTCACCCGAGGGGGTGGCTTCGCGGGCACTGGGGAGCCGGGGACGTCTCGGGGGGTAGCGCAGGCCCGTTAAGCGGCAACTTCGTTTGTGACTGCCTGTGTAAACATCTCTGAGTCACTCCAACTTTGCGGACCCGTTCGCTGTCTCAACACGTCAGTGAGGCCCTTACTGTGTTTTGTCTGTGTAGATTATTCAGAGATTTACATGTTCACAATTTATTAATTTTTTTAAATAGAGACAGGGTTTCACCATGTTGGCCAGGCTGGTCTCGAACTCCTGACCTCAGGTGATCCTCCTGTCTCGGCCTACCAAAGTGCTGGGATTACAGGCGTGAGCCACCGCGCCTGGCCCAGAATTTATTTAAAAAAAAAAAATTTTTTTTTTTTAAAATCGGAAGTACACACAAAGCCTTGCTGTGTTGCCCAGGCCACTTTGGAACTCCTGGGCCCAAGTGGTCCTCTTGCCTTGGCCTCCCAAAGTGCCGGGATTACAGGTGTGAGCTGCCACACCCATCTAATGTTTCAAAATTTTTTCTCGAGATAGGGTCTTGCTCTGCTGCCAAAAACTCGTCTGAACTTGTCGGCTGAAGCAATCCTCCTGCCTGGCTCTTCAAAGTCGTGGGATTACAGACGTGAGCCACCAAGTCCAGCCGATGTTTTAAATTTTTTGTAGAGATGGCCTCTCATCTTGTTGCCCAGGCTGGTCTCGAACCCGTGGCCTCCAGCAATCCTCCAGCCTGGGCCTCCCAAACCGCTGGGATTACTGCGCTGAGCCCATATTCTCAATTGACACCTAGAAACCTGTAAGCAATTATTTGTGAACTGGTATCAAGGGAATAATTCTGTATTAGGTTAAATAACACTTTGTTTCAAAAGTAACAGTTTTCCTAAACAGAGTGGTCAGAGGGTAGTGTCTGCAACCTCCTGCCTAAGAAGACAGCTGTTATTTCTGCCTGTGCGGGTAGAAGGTTTCATGGCAAGCCAGGAGGCCTCTGGGGCCTGGGGGTTAGCCAGGTGGAAGAGCATAGATAGCTTGTTGTGAAATGACTTTCGTCTTCCACTATGTACCCACAGAGCGAATGCCCAGGGGTCCCAGGGCCACACTGTGAGAAGCGTGCCTGGAGTGGATTTATTTATTTATTTATTTTTTGAGACAGAGCCTCGCTCTGTAACCCAGGCTGGAGTGCAGTGGCGCGATCTTGGCTCACTGCAACCTCTGCCTCCTGGGTTGTAGCGATTCTTGTGCCTCAGCCTCCCGAGTAGTGGGAACTAAAGGCGCATGCCACCACAGCAGGCTGATTTTTGTATTTGTAGTAGAGCCAGGATTTCACTATATTGGCCAGGCTGATCTCGAACTCCTGACCTCAAGTGATGTGCCCGCCTCAGCCTCCCTAAAGTGCTGGCGGTGGATGTTTTTAAATGAGGCTCACTTTCTCTCGCTTCTGGAGCTAGAGAAAAAGAGCTTTAAGTTTTCTGTGAGCTAAGCTTTTGTTTTTCTGCCAGACTGGCCTTCAGTAACCCAGTTAGCATAATTAGAACTGCAGAGAAGGAGCATAAAGGAATTGTACTCAGCCTGGGGAGGTCGGGAGAGCTCGTTTGTTTGAAGGAAGTAATCATTTGCAAGGTGAAGGGTTTACAGCGGGGGAACAATTTTGCAGATTATGTTTATCTGGGCAGTTTTGCTTACAGAAAGGTCCCTTTAAACCTCCTTCGCGGCCTGTGTGTGCCCTGGCGAAGAGGCAGCATTACACTGAGAGTTCAGTTTGAATGCGCCAGGGCCCCTGCGGCAGCGGGCCGGCAGCCCACCAAAATGCTGGTCGTTCAAAAGCTTGCTCTTGGTGCATGAGAAAAGAGGGCTGCATGCTTCTTTTTTTCCCTCTCGGTTTACTGATTAAACAGTTGTTAAAGCCGCTGGTGAGTGAGCTCACGTGTCTGCCAGGGGACTCTGTACCCCGGGAGTGTCGGAACAGAATGGCCTTCTCTAAAGATTAACTTTCGTAGCTTGCCCTGATCCTGCCGCTTCCTGTGTATGGATTAAAAATAATTTTCCATACTGGTGGAGGAATGGCCTTTTCCTCTGTCTGCGGGTGGCTGGCTTGGTAAATGGCATTTGCCATTTGCTTCTAACTGGTAGGCTTTCACTGCTGACCAGGAAACAAACTTCGTCCAGGGCATGTGAGCTGAAGCTGTTTGAATATCCAAGAGGGCCCGTTTCCCCACCGCAGACTGGAAGCCATGGCAGTTTTTTTGTAGAATTTCCAAATGGGTGGGTTCTTAGCTATCTTATGACTTACACTGTGTGAGGAGGAAGAAATTGCCGGTGGAATCCACTCCTCCTCAATGGTGTTTTCTTACAGCCCATCATGGAAAAACCAGATAATTACAAATTAATCATTGATGTTGATCATGCCTTTACAAAGGGGGTTGAGAAGCAAATCCAGAATTCCTCTAAGAGGGTCTGTCTCTGTGTTTCTAAGACCATCCACGTGGCCCATTCAGTAACATGTATCTATCTGTTGGTGGGATTTTAGAATAGGTGATTTAATCAGTGTATGTAATATCCTAATATGACATCAACACTTGAACGTCGATATGGCCTGAAACCCATTGAACGTGCTCGCATTGACTAAAGCATGTCTCTCCCCAGCAGTGTTAATCACAGGGTGAACTGTTTAGGAATTACATTTTCTCTGCTGCATCAATGCGTTTTGAAAAGGAGAGAAAATTGTTGATGCCTGTTGTGAAGACCAGTTCCAACACTGCACAGAATTTTTCTTAAAAGTCCTATAGTAGCCGGGCGCGGTGGCTCAAGCCTGTAATCCCAGCACTTTGGGAGGCCGAGGCGGGTGGATCACGAGGTCAAGAGATTGACACCATCCTGGTCAACATGGTGAAACCCCGTCTCTACTAAAAATACAAAAAATTAGCTGGGTATGGTGGCGCGTGCCTGTAATCCCAGCTACTCAGGAGGCTGAGGCAGGAGAATTGCCTGAACCCAGGAGGCGGGGGTTGCGGTGAGCTGAGATCACGCCATTGCACTCCAGCCTGGGTAACAAGAGCGAAACTCCGTCTCAAAAAAAAAAAAAAAAAAAAAAGTCCTATAGTAAATAAATAATAGGCCACAGAATATTCCTTCGTGTTCTGGGATGGAAGACGGACTCGTAAATGCTGTGCCATGGGAGTGAAGTATTTACAGAAAGTATGCCAACTGGCCCACTTCTAAAGCTATTTATAGAAGTCCTACTTTTCAAACTTTTTTTTTTTAACCTATAAAGGGAAAGTTAATTCTTGTTGGTTTTATGAATAGTGAACAGTGGCTACTAGAAATGAGGTAGAAGTAAAAACAGCAGTTTTCTAACTTCTTTTCTTTTCTTTCTTTTTTGACATGGAGTTTCATTCTTGTTGCCCAGGCTGGAGTGCAATGTCGCGATCTTTGGCTCACTGCAAACTTCGCCTCCTGGGTTCAAGCGATTTTCCTGCTTCAGCCTCCCAAGTAGCTGGGATTACAAGCACGCGCCACCACGCGCAACTAATTTTGTATTTTTAGTAGAGACGGGCTTTTACCATGTTGGCCAGGCTGGTCTTGAACTCTTGACCTTAGGTGATCTGGCCGTCTCAGCCTCCCAAAGTGCTGGGATGACAGGTGTGAGCCACCTCACCTGGCCTCCAATATCTTGATCACAGAATCCTTTTCAAAAAAATGAGACAGCAGACAGTTTTTGTGGGTTATAACAGTCAATAAGTCATCCTGTGAAGACATTAAAAAAGAAATTTAAAACATATTTCTTTATTTAAAAGTAATGGTAACAAGCCAATTACCTGTTACTACCAAAAAATGTATGTATATATTTATTTTTATATATTTTATTTTCATAAAATATATTTTTAGAATTTATATTTTTATATAAATATAAAATATGAATGTTATTTTTATATAATTTAGAGGTAAATTAAAACAATTTATATTTTTCTGTGAGTATATATACATGTGTACATTTATGGGCTGTGGCGTGATGCTTTGCTGTATGTTTGCATTGTGGAAAATTAAATCAAGCTAACATCCATACCTGCTATTTTTGTTTTGTGGGAACATTTAAAATCTCTTTCAGTCATTTTGTGTTTTTTGTTTCCATTGGCTATTGGGGAACAGGCAGTCTTTGGTTACATGAGTGAGTTTTTTTGGAGATTTGTGAGAGTTTGGTGCACCCGTCACCCGAGCAGTAAACACTGCACACGAGACATTGAAAATCTCTTTTAGCTATTTTGAAACATGTAATATGCTATTAAGTACAGCTGCCATGCTGTGCAGCGGGTCACTAAAACTTACTCCTCCTGTCTAACAGGACCTTGGTACCCTTTGACTTCATAGTGTATATTTATTAAATAAAAAATGACTATTTCCAAAATAACAAAAACTTAGGGAGAAGAGTGGCGGAGTTTTAGGGCTTTGTCGGCCTCATGCACGAAGGGCCAG